GAAGGAAGAGGAAGGAGGAGGAGAAGAGGAGGAAGAAAGAGGGAAAGAAAGAAAAGAAAGGAGGCGGAGGAGGAAGAATAAAGAAGAAAGAGAAGGAAGAAGAAGGAAGATGATGATCTCGGGATCCCAGTTCACGATGCCAAAAGGAAAAACTTAAGCTAGAAGCTGAGTCATGCCAACAGCTGCCTTCCCTTTTGTTCATAAGCAGGTAGCTACAGATGAAAGTGTTAAATATTTGCACAGCTATTCTCTGTTCACCTTCTCTTATGTACAGTGCTGATTTACTGAGCAAGGATGAATACCCAAGTGACTCTCCCCCTCCCTGCTCCTTTTCTCTTGCAGGTTGTGGGTTCAGTCACGTGACCGTACCCTCCCTCTTTCCCTTCCAGAGGGCTTTTCTCCTTTAAACCAAGGGAGGGAGAGCATCAGGACAAATACCTAATGCATGTGGGGCTTAAAGCCTAGATGACGGGTTGATGGGTGCAGCAAACCTCCATGGCACATGTATACCCACCTAACAAGCCTGCACGTTCCGCACATGGGTCCCAGAACTTAAAGTAAAATAAAAATAAGTAAACATTGAAGCTTTCAGAATCATCTCTGGAAAAAGACACAGAGCACAGATTGATCTATGGATGTGTGTTCCTGTGGACATGCCAGGTATGTCCTTAACCTTGGCAAAGTAAACTTCGAAATTGATTGAGGCCTCTCTCAGATACTTTTTGGTTTGCAGAACATGAATGCTTTTAGGGCAGGAGAGCAACCCTGGGATCTGGAGCTGGCAACTTTCCCTTCAACCCCGGGATGCCCACCTTGGGAAGACGGCATGGAGGTCCCGCTACCTACCTTCCTCACCAGTACAGGACTGGGCCTCAGAAGGGACAGGGATGTGTCTAAGGCTCCTCACGCCATCCCTGGTAACGAGGTACAGCTGAGAGCTGGGGGGGGAAGACGACAGCGTCAGATGCGTCATTTTCATTCATTCATTACACAAGTAACACCTTGAGCTGCCAGAGCTTGGCACAGGAGCGAATTCTACCCTGAAGGGGACCAGGCTTCAGGCAGTGGACACGCTGGTGGGTGATACTCCACGGGCACAGGGACAGAGGCTGAGGACCACAGATGGTGACAAGTGCTGTGAGAAACCCACACGGAGGATAGCATAGCACAGACTGTCTCAGGGACAGAGCGGGCATTCCCTAACTGTGGTAGGGGGAGTTCTCTGCAGAGGCGACATTTGAGCAGAGGCCCAGAGGATGAGAAGGAGCCACTGTTCCAGACAGAGGACACAGCACGAGCAAAGGCCTGGGATAGGAACGAGGTGGCCACTTTAGGAGTATGGAAAGAAAGCTAGCTGGGGAGTGTCAGGATGGAGGCGGACAGTGAGTGAGGGGCAGGGAACAGGGGAAGGAGGGAGGAGAGAGGAGGAAGGTGGGCAGAGTCCCCATAGGGCAGGACAAGGCCAAAGATGCAGGTAGGTGGGGCAGCCTGGACTCACTCTCATTCCCTCTGAAATTGTCCCTCTCTGAGTCACCTCCCTAAGTGTCACAGACAAGCACACCCCAGAGGGACCCCAGGAAAGAGGTGAGGGTCTGAAAGTTCTCCAGCTGTCACCCCTAGGCTGCCCACAGTCCCTGTCATAGACACATCCACCCTTTACAGTCACAGACATGCACACTCGTGGACACACACGCACTCCCACAAATGCTCACAGACATGAGACACCTCCACTCCCACAATGCTGCTCACTGGCACACTCACTGACATGCAGACACACCCTCATGCACACAGCAGCTCATACACGCCCTCTCATATGCCTGATCACGTGTACTCACAGACACAGGCTCATGGGCGCACAGTGTAACACACATGCGTACTAATGTCACATCCACACCCACGCACACCTCCATGTGCACTCGCAGACATGTGATCACACACTCACATGCATGCACGCACATACACACACACGCTCACATGCTCTTTCGTGCTCATGGTTCCCTGCCTGCTGGCGCAGGGCACCCACCTGAAGCTGAGCAGCTCCACAGCCTCCTCGGGCGTGTTCAGATGCACCTTGAGGTCCCGGCCCTTCTGCATCTGGATCCCTCCATCCAGGCTGGCGGCGCTGCGGACGCTGGTCACCCACCTCAGCCCAGCCTGCCCCAAGGCTCCCGTTGTGCCCATCTGAGCTGAGATCTGGAGCAGGGCACTGAGGGACAGGCACATACCAGCTGCATCTCAAGGGCCCTGGAGCCACACCCACCACCTCCAGCTACCCCTTCCACCACCGCCCCCCGCCGCCCCCCCCCCCCCGCCCCCCCCCCCACCGCCCCCAGCTGCCCCCTCCACCACTATCACCCCACCCACAGGCTTTACGTGCACCAAGCACTTGCCAGTCCTCACCTGCACTCATCCCTCTTACAGATGGGGAAACTGAGGCTCAGAGAGGTGACAGCACCTGCCTGGGTTCCACGACTGGGACAAAGCATGTGGCTGGGACACCTGAACCCTGGCTGTCTAAGTCTCAGCCCAGGCTCTTCACCCCACAGAGCACCAGCCTAGGGCGTCCACGTTCCCCATGTCAGACCCAGGACCCCAGAACAGCTCAGCTGAGTGGCTGGGGACAGATGCTCAGCAGTGCCGCAACAGGTTCTGGAATCAGACCCAATATTGCACGCATTCTGCTCAGGCGCTCTGGTGCCACGTGCCCCAGGCTTTTGGCATCCTCGCCTTGAGCTTTGGTTTCCTCACCTGTCAGTGGGAGTAAGAAGCACCAGCCTTGCTGGTTTGGGAGGGGGTCGCACCAGTTCAGTGAGCTCAAGGCTAGCTCCTCTCCTCCCTTCTGGGTGGGGTGGTTGGAAGGGCATAGACTTGTGGCATTAGACCAGAATACCAGCCGCCTGGCACTGCTGTGTAACCTCGAACCCATGACCAGACCTCTCTGAGCCTCAGTCTTCTCATCTGTAAAGTGGATCTAACCACCCAGCATCCCTACACACAGTCTCTTGGCACAGGTGGTCTGCAGAATAGGGATCCCCTTGGACTGTGTGGATGTTCCCTGCATCCCCCAGGTCGCTGCAGCCCTCTGTAGGAGTGGAATCCCACCCCCTAACCTGAGCCAGGTCCCAGGAGCCAGCTACCTGGGCTTGACATAACCATTCACAGAGAAATCCGAGCGCTGCTGGAAGTCGGCGATTCCTCGGACCCGGATGCTGATGGCGGCCGAGGCATTTAGGGTCAGCTGAGCAGGGAGGCCAGACACTGTGGGAAAGGCCAGCTCCTCTGCGGCCAGGCTCAGCCTCCGGTTCATCTGTACCTCTTGCCCCTGCAGCCAAGAAACCGTAAGCGGGGCCAGGCGCAGTGGCTCACACCTGTAACCCCAGCACTTTGGGAGGCCAAGGCAGGTGGATCACTTAAGCCCAGCAGTTGGAGACCAGCCTGGAGAACAGGGGAAAACCCCATCTCGACTGAAAATACAAAAATTAGCTGGCATGGTGGCACATGCCAGTAATTCCAACGACTCAGGAGGCTGAGGCACGAGAATGGATTGAACCCAGGAGACGGAAGTTGCAGTTGAGCCAAGATCACACCACTGCACTCCAGCCTTGGAAACAGAGCAAGACTCCATCAAAAAAAAAAAAAAAAAGAAAGAAAGAAAGTACGTTAGAACAATAACATTATGATCTCATTTCTGTAAA